TATTATTTTGGTTATATACTTTATATGAAAAAATATATTTTATATATTAAAATTTAATTTTTATGTGTAATGTTTAAAAATATTATAATTAAAACCCGTAATTTAAATATATAAATCAAATTTTGAATGTATAATTATTAATTCAAGTTTGAATATCAAATCATTTTTAATTATCGATAAATTTTGAAAAAATATTAAAATTTAATTAAAAATATAATAGATTGAAAGGTCAGATAATCACAAAACTCATCTATACACACAAATACAATAGAAATATAATTTGATAAAATTGAGAGCAAATATTTCTAATTAGTACTAAAAAAATATGTAAATTAATATTTAAAGAAAAGAAAAATAATATTAAAAATATATATTGAAAGTAAATAATCAAACTAAAATAAATTAGTTAGAATAATATTTATATTAAATTTTATTTTACCATATTTTAAATTATTAGAATCATTTATAATTATAAATATATATTATATTTTTAAAATATTAAAAATTTAGTGAAGGCAATTGTCTCCACTCTACTTATTGTCAAACGGAGTATCTACCACAAGAGTCACATTTTTACACAAGCAAGTAGCGAATTCTTTAGTCAAATATGGTTTATCTATTGAAGATGAGGAGGGTAGAATTTTTATTCATGTTTTCTATTTTAGTATTTAAGATTTATGATTTATTTATCCATTACATTATTTATATATGCTGTAAATGGGTTGATACTCCTGGTATTAGTTATAACATAATTCCTTTGTTATTCAATAAAAAACATTATATATATTAACAATGTCTTGAGAATTAGAAACTTGTTAATTATTATTTTAGTATATACAATATATATAAAAATTTAATTCTCAAATAACTAAAATTTATAATGGATAATTATTTTCAATATATAAATTATATTTGTGATAATTATAAAAATGTTAAAACTTAATTTAAAAATAAAGAAAAATAGATTAAATAATCAAAAATTTATGTATATAAATAAAATAAAAATAGTTTGAGTATGTTACATTTTTTATTAATTAATAAAATTAAAATTAAAATAAGAAATATATTTTAAAGAAATGAAAATTTTGAGAAATAAAATTAAATACTTAATATATGAGATTATGATCAGGCGTGCAGTTTAAAAAAATGACAGCTCCTATAAATGCTCTTTATAAGAAAAATAAATAGATTACACATATTGGTTTTTATAATAATTATCTTAAAAAATATATAACAGTAATTTCTTGTAGATATTATATGATTTTTAGTTTAATCACCTCAACTTGTTTGTCTTTAAATTTCTTTATTTTTTTTCTAAAAATAAAAATACATGCTGCAAGTGACAATATCACAAATTTTAAACCAATTAAAAACGTGGAGTACAAGTTCAATAAAAATATGTTCAATATAGTATTTTAACGTATAAATTTTATGTATAACTCACACTAGGGTTTTTTCCTAGGTCAGACCTCAAAGCCAAAGCATTCAAGAGTGTAATCTGCCTTCTCAACTCTAGGATTTTGGGTTTTATGGTATGTCGTTCATGGGCCTCTTGGGCCCCGAGAATAAAGGGATTTTGTTAACCGCTCTTATCTGCAAGATATTTGACGAGGACGATATCGATATAGGATTCAGTGCTCGATTCTTAACCGACTAGGACCATTTGAGAGGGCCTACTCGGTTATCGACCGAATTAGGCAGGCGGAGTTGGTGCAGGGTCGTATACAGGGTTATAGTGAGATATAGACCGAGTGCCCCTAATGAGGGGGTCGGTCTAAGTCCTAATTTGTCTGCCACATGTGAAGTCCAGTCGGCCCGCGTTGACCAGTCGGTATCTGACCGAGACGGTCCACTAGCCTTCCAGTCCTGAGCCTAGGAGGCGAAAGGGCTTAAGGTTGAGTTGTCGACCACATGCAATCTTAGTCGGTCTGCCACACGTAGTGACGTCCGGTCAGACTACGTTGACCAGTCGGTATCTGACCGAGACGGTCCACTAGCCTTCCAGTCCTGAGCCTAGGAGGCGAAAGGGCTTAAGGTCTCACTTAACCACTTGTGTTCCTGGTCGGTCTGGGGTAATCGTGTGGCGTAGGTTAGAATCGGACCCAGAGTAAGGCAACAGCCAATTCGGTTGTCATCGGTGGTGGGCCGAGAACCACGACCTGATGTAGAGTCGTGGCTTCCCGAGGCCAGACAAGACATGTCTCTTCCCCTTCTTCAAGAAGGGACATGCATTTATTGTAAAGATGGTATCGCAGGGGACGTATCCCATGATTGGGCCACGTGGTCGCGCCAGTTACTAGAGTTAATGGTGTGGGCCCCCTACCCTTTTCCTGGGTCCTTGGGTTAAGAGTTGCAACGCCCCACGCGCGTTGTAACCTTTGAGTCTCCCCCTACTCGCACGACCCTTGGGGTTCTATAAATAAGGGTGGACCTCACTTCCCTTAACTTATTTGTTTTTTCTTTTCTTGTACTCTCCTTCTCCGGTGGCGCTCCCTATTGCATTTTAGAGTTGCAGTGGTGCACGGTGATTCACGGCGGTCCAGTGGCCTTTTGTAGGGTGAGGAAGAGTTGTTGTGTGGTTTTAGGTACGCCCATCTACCCCCTTTCTGTTTATA